CCCATTTAGGGGTAAATATACAAGAAGACCTTTCAACAAATAAGGAATTAATCTAAACCTATAAGGAAAACAATAGAATTACAGAATATACAGAGGCATAATGTAAATTCTAATAAGGAAAAAACTTAATTTACGGCTTGATTTTCTACATCGGTGTACTTTCTCCCAAAAGTTCTATAATTATTTTGTGATTGACCATGATTCTTTTCCTTCTTTTATTTTTTTTTATTTATAATTTTAACTTAACAATATAATATAATCACAAACATTTGTTTACTATTTTTGTTTTTAAACTCTAGTTTATAAAGAGTAATAAATGATTTATTTGTATATGTCCTTGCTAATCTTCTTTTAATTACCATGATTTCGATGATCCATAGTTTATAAAATGACCTCATATTCTTAAAGGAAAAGAATTTTCTGAAGACATGAAGATATTATAATTGAGTGTGGGATAAATGAAAATATATTTTGGGTAGAGAATAGGAAGTTGTTAAAACAAGTGAAGTTGTTTTTCATCCCAAGTTGGGATGTTTGGAAATGCCCTCCAAGGTTTTAGGTTCAACCACTTAGTGAAAATTTTAATAATTTAAAATCCTTGTGGTCCCTCCGAGCTAACCTCAGGGTGAACAAAGCCTCTTTAAGTATTAGTGCCGGTGCGCCATATACATGGTGCAAGGAGTGAACCTCTCCAAACTCTGGTTAACAAAAAAAAAAAAAACATAAATTTGAGACCATCCATATATATTGGGTAAATTTTCAATCGTCTTATTAAAGATTTTAGAAACCTTGATTGTTGATGTCATCTATTTCCTATAGCACTCATGAAGGAAAATGAAAACTTGGAGTGAATTCAAGAATCATAATTGCTAGCATCTGATTAAATGAGAGAACGGGAGGGAGACGCTGGGTAGAAAGTATGGATAAATCTGTGAACACCATATTTGCCTTGAATTTCACTTAAAAGAGAAACCATATATAGGCGAGTCTAAAAATATTCTTTTATTTATACTTGTTCTTTTTAAAATCTCTTTTAGCTTTAATAATCTACAGAGAGCCCATTCTTTTAGTTTGGTTCTCTTTTGTTATTTTATTTATTTTTGTTTTTTTATTTGCATATGCCCTTTTGTATTTTTTCATTTTTAAGGTTGGGTTTTCTTCAAAACTAAGAAGCACGGACACGGATACGGGACACGGACACGGACACGTTGGGATACGTTTTTTTTTTAATTTTTTTTAGGATATATGTAAATTTAACACAAAAAATATTA